GTGTGTGTGTGTTTACTTAAAGGCTGTTCCAAGTGCCCCCCAACTCAGGATTGGCATATGAGATAGAAGATAGTTTGGTTGAGTTTAAAACTTCCAGTTTATCTTAGCTTTGTTGACTTCAGCATGAAGGCATTGCTACTTGTTATTTACTATAATTCATTTATCTTTTAGCTTTGTGGCCAGTTTAGGGCCCCAAAATGTGTGTGTGTGTGTGTGTGTGTGTGTGTGTGTGTGTGTGTCCATGTGAATCTATTTCACAGAGAATCTGTATCTCTATGTTCTAGGAATGCTCAGTTCCCTACCCTGTAAACAGGTTCAGATGTCCACCGTAAAAGTAAAGTAATGAATTCTTATAACAGGCTCTTTTGTTTGTTCATTTTGTTGATCTAGTGACTTGCCTTTACTAGTTTTTCTTTGTTTCACTATACTTTACCAACTCTGTGTTTTGTTGGTTAGAACCAGGTAGAACTGGGCATATCTCCAAAGCAACATAGATGAGGGAGAAATTGAAAAGCAAAACTCTTCCTCCATGCTTGTGAGGTCATTTCCTGTTCTTGGTCCTTTCATCCTCTCATACCCACATCACTCTACAGTGTGCCTTTAAATTAACCCACAAAGACACACTACTGCTAGACTTGAATATACTATAACCATTAAATAGGAGACCACCAATATCCTAAAATTATCAGTCCAACCAAAGTTATTGTTGTTACCTATTACCATGGGAGAAGGGAAGGCAAGAGTTCACACTGTATTCTCTTTCTTCTGAATAAGGTAGCAACTAAAGACCAAGGCACTGCCAAGCATTACTACAGATGCCTTACATAGTTGGCCCAATATCAGACACACAGCAAGTATAGAAGACTTGTGCCTTCAATTAATGAGCCTATTTCAAAAAAGTTACAGAATTCTTTTCCAAACCAATAAATACATAAAATAGGGAGAAAAGGGTGGTGGGGGAGGGTCCTTTGATTTGCCTTTATAACAGTAGGACTGGTTGTGGGGCCTTATCCACACTTTTTTTTTTCCTGCTGGATTCCAAAAGATAAGGGTGTTTCTATGTCTTTAAGAAATTTTCTTTAAAAATTGTATTTATTATTTTTATTTTATGTGTACAAGTATATTGCCTGCATGTAGGTAGGTGCACTCATGTTGTGCACCTGTGGAGGTCAGAAGAAAGTGTTGATCTCCTGGAACTGCAGTTGCTGACACTTATTAACTGCTGGGAACCAAACCTGGGTCATCTGTAAGAATAGCCGGTGCTTTTAACCACTGAGCCATCTCTCCAGTCCAATTATAAGAAATTTTCATTATGTAAGACTAAATTGCACCCTCCTCTCATTTTTACCAGGCACTCTTAGTTCTTAAACTTTCAAAATTAAAATAGTGTCTTTAATAAGAGATGAGGATACTCACAGATCTCAGACAGAAATGATGCAGGGCAAAGTCAAGGCCTTTTAAAGGTATTTATATAGTCCTTTGTTTCAGACAGGGCTGCACGTGAGCTGTTTTGAACTCAAAGTCACTATACTGAGTCTTTAAAAGGTTTTGTTATTGCTGCTGCTGCTTTTAGATGTATGCTAGGTAAGCACTTGCCTGCTGAGCTACATCTCTAGCCCTTACTGCTCTTTTAAATCCTTTACTGAGGCGGTGCACATGTCTGGGCACCCTAAGTTCACTGGGAGGATAGACCTTAAAGAGCTGGTTGTATTTTACTATTGGGAGCAAGTGTTTTTTTAACTTTTGTGACATGTTAGAGTGAACCTTCATTAGAAAGGCCAGGGGGTGTGATTCCAGGTCACACAGCATTTTTGTAGCAGAGCTAAGAGACCAACCTAGACTAAATGGCTCCTTTCACCATATTAGGAAATGCCGCCTCTCCATTGTTGGAGAGTGAACTCATTCATACAACTAAGAGCCACAAGAGGTTCTGCCAGTACAATGTTTTTGGTCCCTGGTCAAGCTCATGTAGTACGGACAAGTGCAACTGTTCTCACTTTACAGAAAAGGCAACTCAAGACAACACCTGAGTTGGGTGTGGTCATGCACCCCAGAACTGAGGGGACTGAGGGAAGAGGATGGAGGTCATACTGGGCTACATAGCCAGCCTCTCTCTCAAGAAACAGAAGAAAACCAATTACAACAGGAAATACTCAAATAACTTGTCCCTTCTGCTAGGAAACAAAATGTTAATTCGAGTTCTCTAGTTTTACTTTCACAAATCCTTAGCAATCAAGACAGCACTGCTTTCTCATCCAAGCATCCCAATCCTGACGAACCAAACATTTTGAGATGTGCATTATCTGCAGTCCTCCCTTATTTCTGACTTAGATTTGTGTTTATTTCCGTGATTGAGTTTCTTAAGGCAGGGTCACATGGTCAAAGACCACTCTTGCAGCTAGTTGGGGGGGCACAGCACTAGGGGCAGATGAGCTGAGTTCAGGCAGCACCAGGGGCAGATGAGCTGAGTTCAGGCAGCACCAGGGCAGATGAGCTGAGTTCAGGCAGCACCAGGGGCAGATGAGCTGAGTTCAGGCTTGGCCTACTCGGGTTTGTACCCTAGTGTTGCCCCCAAGAAGCAGTCTAACGTTGGGTTTCACTCTCTGTCAGATGAGGGGGTTCTGGATCAGTGCACATGTGTGAGTTTGAACCTATGACTGTACTTAGGCTTTGCACATTCACAGTCCAAAATGTACGTTCAAAACAATATACGTAGTTTACACTAGACTTCGTCGGAGCTCGGAGACACCGGCGGACTTCGTGACTGTAGCTTAAAAAGGGCACGGGCCGGGCGGCGACCCGCGGAGCAGCTCCAGGCTCCGACTCCAGGCGGGCCACCTGTTCCGGGGGCCAATGGGCGGGGCGCGGGCGCGGCTACAAAAGGCGGCGGGCGGCAGGCTCCGTGCTGGGAGCTGCGCGCAGGCGGCCGGACCTTCCACTCGTGGAGCAGCCGGGCGGGGACGATGCTTCGGGTGCGGTGTCTTCGCGGCGGAAGCCGCGGCGCCGAGGCAGTGCACTACATGGGCTCTCGGGTGCGTCCCCGGGGCTGGAGGGGAGCGTCCCTGCTGCAGCTGCAGGGCGGGGACCAGGCACTCCGTAAGACGCGGCGCGGCCGGGATTCCCGTAGTCCGGGAAGATGCGCGAGGGTGGATGGAGGGAGACGAGAGGCGAGATGGGAAAGGGGTCGGGCGCCGGGTTTAATTGCCGGTGTATCGGGCCCACTCTGGGGTCCCCAGGCCGTAGGGAGTTGGAGTGAGTCCTCCGTCCCCAGATTCCATGGCCCGGGAAGATGCGCGAGGGTGGATGGAGGGAGACGAGAGGCGAGATGGGAAAGGAGTCGGGCGCCGGGTTTAATTGCCGGTGTATCGGGCCCACTCTGGGGTCCCCAGGCCGTAGGAAGCTGGAGTGAGTCGTCGGGTCCCTGCCTCTGCTTCCCTGGGATGTTCGCGCATGCCTGCAGACCCTCCCTGGCTCCTCAGACAGGAATAGCTCTGGAAGATGAGTTCTGCCAGCAACTGGTTCCGGAACAGCTGTCAGTTGCCCTCTGGGCCTCCAGCCTTGAGCCCCTCCAGTCCCCTTGGCCCCCTTGTTTTCAACAGACAAGGATCTGGGGGACTGGGGTTTGCACAGCGGGTGAGGGAAGCTGCTTGTTCTAGATTTTATAGGCCTGCATTTTCATTAAAAAAGGGGGGGGGATTTTGAATACATAGGTCGTTTTTTCAGTTTAAATCTGTGCCTGGGCTACTCCTTATCATGGCTAGGGTTTCGTGGACCATCTGTATATGGCACCGATGACAGTTGGTCACCCGCCGACTTGAAATGCTAAAGAATGTGAAGTGTATGTCAGAGATGAAAAAAAAACTGCATTGAAGCTGATTATTCTGAAAGATAAGGTCCTTTCAGATGTTTCCATGTTATTATTTAAAGAAAAAATAACGCAATGTTGGTAACCGTCCAGAATGAGGGAGGGAAATCTCCCTCCCCTGGCTGGATGGGGCAGGGCAATTATTTGGGAAGAGGGTGAGCCCTCTTCTGTGGAAGTTTCTGAAAGCCTGTCTGCAAAAAGTTATTCTAAGATACAGATGGGTTGGAATATGGTCACTAGGAGCTAAATCTTCTGAGTTTTTAAAAGTTGCAGCATTTAACATAAAGGGACAAATTTTTTTTTTTTTGAGTTACCTGTGACTCCTCTATCAACAATCTTAAGATCGCCTAAAGATTATTAATGTCTGGCTATGTATAGTTGGGTTCCCACTCTTTCTCCCCTTCTCCAGCTTCCTCCTACCCTCCATATCAAAAAGGACCACACAATAACTTTTTTTTTTTTTTTTTTAAAGTTTGGGCAAACCTTAACAGGATGGGTGCAGCGAACTTTCCAGAGCACCCAGGCAGCTACAGCTTCCTCCCGGAACTCCTGTGCAGCTGACGACAAGGCCACTGACCCTCTGCCCAAGGACTGTCCTGTCTCCTCTTACAATGAATGGGACCCTTTAGAGGAAGTGATAGTGGGGAGAGCAGAAAATGCTTGTGTTCCACCCTTCACGGTGGAGGTGAAGGTAAGGCAAGAGTGTTCCTGTGTGGACGAAGATGTCCTCCTCAGCACTGCAGTCTGGGTCCACCACCCTCCTCTGTAACTGTGTGCACTCAGGCAGGGGGGCAATCTGAAGTTATTTTGCTTGATATCACTGATATTTGGCATTATTTCAACACCTTCCTTCTTGAAACCTCCCTGGGGTTTTGAGAGAACTTTTCCTGGGGATGCTCTTCCCCTGCTTTTCTCTTTATTATCTGTGAGCCTGTAGTTTCATTTTTGGCCCCTTTCTCTTAGGCATTCTCACAGCTCCACTCTAGTCCAGATGGCTCCCCTAAACTCCATCTAGTCTATATCAACACCATGAACTCCTTAGTGGACACTGCCACAGGACCTCAAACCTGGCACATTCTGGAGTTCAGTTGCCAGACACCCTCTAAATCAGAGCCTTCATTCCTTCCTTTTAATTTTTGGCAGTCTTACTTAAATGAAAATACCAGTCATCTTTGATTTTTCCTTCAGTCACGTCTTTTACATCAAAATCTTTTGTCAAAAGGAATCTTGCTGGCTCCACTAGCCTCTGCCCTGTGTCAGGAGTTCATCTACTCCTGGGTGGTTGCATTTAACTGCCAGTTGGCCACCCCAGATACTCTGCTCCAGACTGTACCCTGGTTACTATCAGAGTAACTTTTTTTTGCTCATGTTAGCCCTTGTGCTGCTGTCACTCCTCTACCCCCACTCTTTTGTTCAGGATTCTTCACAAGCTGGCCCTTTTCTACCCTTCCAGGATTCCTATTTCAGTCAGCTGAGAGAGGTGTACTAGTATGGTAAGTTAACAGATGGTCATTTCTGTTGAACTTTTCTAATATTCCACCTGGATTTTAGCAGACTTTGTAAAACAAACAAGGACTCAGTAAGGCCCAGGCCTTTGCTCCCACCCGTCTCTCTCACCTGCTTTCCTGTACTCTATTATCTATAATTTAAATCTGTCGGTACCTGGCTCCGAGATGCCTTTCCCAAAAGCTTCCAGAATTTCCCTGATAAGTAATATCATTCTTTGAGAAAAAAAGGAAAAACTCCTAATATTTACCTATGATATTCTTATGGCCAAGTTCCCTTTGGATTACTGTTCAGGTGGTATACTACATAAATAAGGGCCCTTCTGTATTATAGGCAGTTCCTAAGCTCCTGTTAATAATGAGTTACAAGTACCTCTTCAATGTTCTTCTTTTTTAAATACCTACATTTCACTTGTAATGTAGAACAAGGAAATAAGTTCTGTAACAGTACCATCATCATCAGAAATGCTACCTGCAATGTAACAGAGCTCTAGAGGCATTAACATAAAAGGACTTCCTCTCTATTTGGAGAGATATGTACATTTTGATGCGAACATTTTACACTTTCTTATGCCAATCAACTGGCAAGGCAGTTAAAGTACAAGGAAGGCTAAGGGAAAGCCAGGACCAAGTGCTGGGTAGTCAGGAACCATCTGAAAAAATGTGACTCACAGTGAGACTTGGGAGGTACAGCAATAGAAGAAGTGGTTTCTTCTTACTCTTCTGAAACTATCATTAGTTCTGATATTTGAAATTTGATGAATAGATTCATTTACATTCTATCTCCATATTTTAAAATAAATAAAAAGGTATGGTTTTTTAAAAAGTATTTTCTTGAAATGTCCCATCCCCTCCCTAACCATTTTGGTTGAGTAAAATTTATTCAAATTCATGTAAGAATCTTTTTACCTGCCTTTAAAATTGTTGACATTTTTTATGTGACTCTTTTTATGTGTGTGGGTGCCTATGGAGGCCAGAAGAGGGCATTTGACCCTCTGGAGCCAAGTTACAGGTGATTGGGAGCCACTGGAAGTGGAGACTAGAAACAGAACTCAGGTCCTCTGGAAAGGCAGCAAGTGCTCTTAACCATTGGTCCATCTCTCCAGCCCCAGGACCATGTGATCTTATGGAATCAGAATCCTCGGACATGATTTCAAATGCATTGTCACTTGGTTTATGACTTTAGACTTTGTACTTTAATGTGCTTCTGGAAAGTATGCCATTGCTAAAGTCAGGAATCTGGGACTGAATTAGTTTTTGATAAAAATTGGGTAGCTAGTCTTAGTTTATCAACTCTTTAACCTTCAGAATTCCATTAATTTCTAAGTCCCAGTAAAATGAAGCTATTAAGGATTTTGCTAGCTGGGTATGGTGACACATGCTTTTAATCCTAGCAGTCAGGAGGCAGAGGCAGGCAGATCTCTGAGATCAAGGCCAGCCTGGTCTACACAGCAAGTTCCAGGCCAGCTGGGACTATAGGGAGACCCTCTCTCAAAAAGACCAAAAAGAGAGAGGGGGGGAGGGAGAGAGAAAAAGAAAGAAAGAAAGAAAGAAAGAAAGAAAGAAAGAAAGAAAGAAAGAAAGAAAGAAAGAAAGAAAGAAAGAAAGAGAAAAAGAAAAAGAATTACAGGTTGAACTTGAAGGTACAAGGTTCTATGCTGAATATTCTAAGGATTGGAAATATAAATCATTATAGTTTTATGGATCCAGTTTTCCAGTTATGTTACAAAAATATGTTGGGGAGTATATGGCCATCGATATTAGCCATACTGATTTCATTAATTTTTATGATATATGAGAGAGATGGGGGTGGCTGGCTTATATTTTAAGATAGGGTCTCATTAAACCCAGGTTGTGTATCCAAAGATGACCTTGAATTCCTGATCCTGCCTCCACCTCCCAAGTGCTAGGCTTGCAGGCTTCTACCACTATGCCTGGGAACATGGATACATTACTCTAAGAACAATAAGAAATAAAATAATGGCTGGGCATATATGAGAGAGATGGGGGTGGCTGGCTTATATTTTAAGATAGGGTCTCATTAAACCCAGGTTGTGTATCCAAAGATGACCTTGAATTCCTGATCCTGCCTCCACCTCCCAAGTGCTAGGCTTGCAGGCTTCTACCACTATGCCTGGGAACATGGATACATTACTCTAAGAACAATAAGAAATAAAATAATGGCTGGGCTTGGTGGTACATGCCTACAAGGCTAGCACTCAGGAAATTGAGGGAGGAGGATCTTGAGTTCAAGACTAGCCTGAGCTATATAGCAAAACCTTGTTCCAAAAAGAAAAGAAGGAGCAGACATAGTAGTACATGTCCTTAATTCCAGCACTCAGGAGACAGAGACAGGAAGATCTCTGTGAGTTCCAGGCCAGCCAGGGTTGCACAGTGAGATCCTGTCTCGAAGAAAATTTTAAAAGGAGTGAAGAACATAGTTGTCAGAAAACATGATTTTAAAAAATTAAGTAGCTTTTTCTTCTGTAAAACAGTAAATACTTATTTTTGGTTTTTGTCTTTTTTTTTAAGGCCCTTGACAGAGGACCTTTTATAAAATATATGATCAATTATAGTTAATATAATACAAGCTTGTTGCCAGATTAACAAAAAGTAAGTTCCTTTTAATATTTCTTAGCTTTCCAAAGACAGTGCTTGAAAATTAATTTGTCAAACTTGCACAGTGGATTTAAGCTCTGACAGGTTACAATGTTCCCAGGAATGCAGCTACATCTCTGCAGCGGATTATTAAGGACGTCATAGTCTAAACATCCATCAGAGTGCTCATTAGTTTGCAAATACTTGGTAAATGATTGCTAACTCATTTAGCAGGGTTATAAAGGAAGTGTAAACAATTTCTAACTCTTTCTTGGAAAATGTCATTTGCCCTGATCATTTGGACTTTGTCCAACCTTTTCCAGATTATAAACTGTACAAACTCACACTTGTTCAAATAACATTTTTCTCCTAGGAAAGTTTACTTAACATTTATCAAGGCAAGCCTTCCTCTGTACAAATATTCACGCAGGCTACTTTGGAATGAGGCTGGCAGGACAACGTGGCTGTATCTGCTGAAAATTCAGCATTGCATTTTCAAGGGCTTCTTGTCCCTCCGTGGACTCTAGGAGATGTGCCTGGCATGAGAAGATGGAAGTGTGAATGGACCAGTAGTACCAGGATGTGTCTGAGTTGACTATAAAGAGTCATTATTCTCTGCTCTTTCTGGATGGTGCTGAAGAAATTCATAGGCGTAGAAAACTGGAGTGCTTTTTCTGTTGTTTTGGGTTTTTTTGTGTTATTGTTTTGTTTTGTTTTTGGTAAGATTGAGCTAGCCTTAAAAGTATTAAGATATTTAGGGCTGATAACATTTTTCCTTGGTCAAAAACTGAGAGTGCCATTTGTTTATAGATCTTCAAAAGCAAAATTAATCTGTCCAGGGATCAACAAACTTTTTTTCTGTACAAGGCCAGACAATAATTGATTCGGGCTTTGCAGAGAACATAAGTCTATGGAACACCTTTTCCCCTCTCAACTCTGTCATAATACAAAAGCAGCCATCAGCACAGAGTGAACAGGCTAGTGTGGAATGTACTCTTGAAAGTTTGTCTATGAAGGCAAGCCGCCGCCTCATTAGATTTGGCCCATGGTCCCTTGTTTATCAGCCCCCTTTTGGAACTTCACCAGCATCCTCTATGTTTTCCAAAGATCCATTTCGCAGCTTATTCCCTGTCCTCCAGCCTGGGTTCCAGCCTAACTGATGGGAACTGTCAAGAGGCTAGTTTATATTCATAGACCTTATATTTATCAGGCTAAGGTAAGAATGCAAGCAGAGACATAATCTTAGAAAAAATATCTTTGACATTAAAGATCTTGAAATTTAGTCCAGTCATGACGGGCAAAACCATAAGGAACAAGATGAACTAAAATAAACAATTCCATTTTTAAAAGCTTTCGTACACCAAGTTGAAAATGTTCAAGTCAGTAGAACATTGCCAAAGCACTGAGTATATTTGGAACACTGTTGAGTCAGAGGACTGACGTGCAAGTCCTGTTTAGGTAAGTACAAATGACCTTGCTGAGCCTCTTCTTCATCTGAAAAGACCGTATGAATGACTGACCTGCCTCTTGGGCACCCTTCGCTTGGATAGGCCAAGTGCAAAGCATATCTAGATAAACTAGGCATACCCTAGCACCCCCGAGCCCATAACCTAGGTCTGTCCCTTTCATCTAGTATTTACCTCTATTTAGAAGTGTTGGATTTGTGATGGAAACTCTCATATATAACACGATTAGGATTGGTAGTTGGTTAGTTCATCAGTGATACAAAGAAACAAAAAATACCTGCTTTGAATGTGTTTTTCAGCTAAAAATATGAAAATGTTAACATGGCTTTGCCAATGTCTTGATGAAGTTCCAAGTTTCTTTTTTCCTAGAATCTGGATTCTCTAATTGGAGCTCTGCTTCATCTACCTTGATAAATTATAAGGAGCATCATGTACTTACCCAGTGTATTTTGTTAAATTGAGAACTTAGAAACATGCAAAACAATCTGAATGTAGAATCTTTCTCAAATTTTTCTATTCTTGTATATAACCTTTGGAAGCTTTTTACATACTTAGCTTTTTAAACACTGCAACTCTGTGAATTTGCTTATCACATTACTTTTTTTCTATGGCAAAGGGGCCTGGAGTGATGTGAGTTTGGAAGGCGGGGAGGAGAGGTGTGTTTGGTGAGACACATTGACAGTCAAGTGCCAAAGACAGGCGTGTATTGCTGCACAGTTTTGGCAAGTGCAAATTCTGTTGAATGGGAAAGTCAGATGTACATTTTTGGACAGAAAAAGTATATTTGAGAATATGCCCCAGTCTTAACAGAATCAAAACATTCTTTATTTTTAAACTTATGCTCCTCAAATCTGTTGAAATGCTGTTTTCCTGAATGAACTCAGGGTCTTAGTTTAGTCTATTTGTTTTTATTCTCTTACATTGTTCTGTTTGTTCTCTTGTTTAATTTCACTGGGACTTTCTGACAGGAGTGTCTGTATCCTGTATTGTCTGTGAAGCAGGGCCAGGAAGATTGCAAGCTGGTTATTGGGGGCAGACAAGCTCTTAAGGACTGGGCATGAGATCTGAGACAGAAGGATCAAAAGGCTCAAAATAGCAAGATAATTTAGGGGCTGGAGAGATGGCTCAGCAGTTAAGAGCATTACTGCTCTTCCAGAGGACCTGAGTTTGGTTCCCAGCACCCATGTCAGGCAACTCACAACTGCCTGAAACTCCAGGAGAGCTCTGGCCTCTACAGGCATCCACACATGTATGCAGACACGTGCAGCATACATCCATACAGACACACACACATACAAATAAAAATAAATCTTAAAAAATATCAAGATCATTTAGAGTTCTTCATTCAACAAATAACTGTACATCTGCGCAGAGGCCAGCGTGCTTAATGCTGGGCGTCAGCATTGAGTGAGATCTGCTTGTCGTTTCTGTCCTATTATGCTGTACCAAGATCTGTTTACTGCCTCGAGTGTAATTGTCTTGTATTGTTGTTCTCCTGTAATGATTTCTTTTACTTTTTTCTGCTTCTAGGCTAATACATATGAAAAGTACTGGCCATTTTACCAGAAGAATGGAGGTCATTATTTTCCCAAAGATCATTTGAAAAAGGCTGTTGCTGAAATTGAAGAAATGTGCAATATTTTAAAAATGGAAGGAGTGACAGTGAAAAGGCCTGACCCCATTGACTGGTCTCTGAAGTATAAAACTCCTGATTTTGAGTCTACAGGTAAGTGCTGGCAGGAAACCAATCTGACAGAGCCTTGACATTCAATTTCTTTCTTAAATATGTAAGACAAAAGCCCTAAGATTCTTGGATTATCAGATTCTTGGAGAATCCTTTGTTTTCTTAATCCTTCAAAACTTTACAGCTTATTTAGGAAGAGTTTGGTACATTTTTATATGACTGAGATGTACCCATTCTAAACATTGTTGTATATCTGATGGATTTGCCTTCATAGAGGCTTTCTCTAAATGTTATAGTCATCTACAAGAGAATGGTGAATTGTACATAGTTCCTTAACAACAGAACTTAAAGGCAGGAATAGAGAGATGGCTCAGCAGTTATGAGCTTACACTGCTCTTGCAGAGGACTTTGGTTCTCAGCCCCCATGCTGGACGGCTCACAACCACCTGTAACTCAAGCTCCTCTCTTGGCCTCCATGACACTTCCCTCGTGTGCACATACCCACACACAAATACACACATGGACACATAATTTTAAATATCTTAAGGGTTCCTTTTGCTTTTATAAATCTTTTTCAAATTGTATTCCTGTGTTGTGTTAACATTACTTTTAATGAATAAATTGAAAAATTATTATATAAAAACAAAAAATATTTTAAGGGGAGAATAGAAACATTATCATTTTCCTTTTAACTACTCTTATACCTGACTTTTTATTTGCCAGAATGATCTAGATCCAGTTTTTATCTTGTAATACTGTCATTTAAGATCTCTGTTTCTGTATATCAAGAAAAGAACCTACTTACGGCTTGGTGGCTCAAGATCACCTTCATTTCTTCCTTTCTGTTTTTTGCTTGGCTTCCTCACCCAACAGAGAATTCTTGTTAGCAATCTCTTTTAGCATATATCACTTCATTTTCTCCATTTTTATATAATTATATACATATGCGTGCTTTTTAGTAATTTTTTTATATAAATAGATTGTACTATATATTTTAATGTCTTGGAAATTGCATGCTGAGGTGGCCATGGAACTCTTTGATCTGGTAGGTTTATACAGTGCGATGCCCCGAGACATCCTGATGGTTGTGGGAAATGAGATCATTGAGGCTCCCATGGCATGGCGTGCACGCTTTTTTGAATACCGAGCATACAGGTCAATTATCAAAGACTACTTCCACCGGGGTGCCAAGTGGACAACAGCTCCAAAGCCCACAATGGCTGATGAACTGTATGACCAGGTAGGTCCCTGGTTACAGATTGGCTTCTTAAGGTCTAAATAATCCACAAAAGGTAAGAAAGAAATTCTCTGATTACTTTGTATATATTGTGCATTTCAGAAACTGATTAAATTGCCTAGTTTTAAAAATCAATTCTGTTAACATGAAACTAGGAGGAAATAATAAGGATCATATGGCAGCAGTAATCCCTAACATTGACTGTATACTCTGTACGTTGAGTCCTGGGCTCAGCTCTTTATTTTATCCTCAGTCATACCTGTCCTTCTAAGAATCCTAAAACTGGTATCATTTCAGCACAGAGAGGAAAACTTGTCCTCAGGGCATGTTACTATTCTGCTGGAGCCAGAAAAGTCATTCGGCTAAAGTTTTTCTCTTCTTTTAGCAAAAGAAACTAGTCTACAGGCCAGAATCACGAGAAAATAAAATGTGCACTCAGCTCGCCCGTCAGCAGGTTCTGCTGTCCCTATCATTCAACAACAGTATAGTATAATAATTGTTTTATATAGCTTTTAGGTTGTGGTAGGGATTATAACTAATCTAGAGATGGTTTAGAGGATTCAGGAAGACAAGCATAGATAGGTTCTATGCAAATGCTGTGTGATTTTTATATGAGATTTCAGCATCCAGAGGTTTTAGCATCTGTGGGGTTTTGGAATCAATCAGGCCACAAATAAAACGGATGTCTGTCCTTTCCAAACTACCTGTTACTCATAGAAAAAAAATCATGTGTACAACCAATTTTTAAAATAAAATTGAGGGGCTGGATAGATAGTTTAGTGGTTAAGAGCACTGACTGCTCTTGCAGAGGACCAGAGTTCAGCTCCCGGCACCCACAGGGTGGCTAACAACCACTTTAACTCCAGTTTCAGAGAATCTGAAACCCTCTCCTGGCCTCATATCACACAACATGGGCGTACTTACATACATGCAAGCAAAACACTCATACATATGAAAGTAAATAAATTACTATGGGAGAGGGTTCTAAATATGATTAAGATGTATTGTGTAAAATGTATAAAAGCTCAATAAACATATACATTGGGAAAATTTTTTAAATAAAAATTTATTCTAGACATT